GAATTTAATCAGACTTTGCTGAACAGTTCATATTTGTTAGACTTTTGTTGTTGCTGTTTTTTCTGTGTTTCAATTTTTTGGCCTCATCATTTTTTTTTTTTTTTCAGAAGGGAAAGACTCACTGTGTAGCTGCATGGGAGCAACTGGACTGTGAATCTGAGTCAAAAGTTTCAATTTGATTTTGTCAGTTTTCCTTAGAGTTTTGAGATTCTTGTAATAAGCTGAGCTGATTTCAGCAATAGAACCACATAGACATGTAGCCCGTGTTTCCTCTAGCATACAAATAAATTACTCTAGGTTCCTGAAACATACACTCTCAGCCCACCCCAAATAACACAATCTTGTAACCAGCAAGGCTGTGTGTCTGGGCAGGGGAATATTCTAGAATGAAAACATTTCTGTTAGAAAGAGGTTGCTTAGAATGTCCAGAGTATTCTACTTCAGCAGCTACAGCAGCCACTTAAGAAATATTACTTATTTTTCTTTGTGGCACTGGAGGCTCCTCAGGAAGTATAATAAAAAGTTAAATGGCTTTTAACATCTAAATTTTTTTTTTTTTGAGACAGAGTCTCACTTTGTTGCCTAGGCTAGAGTGAGTGCCATGGCATCAGCCTAGCTCACAGCAACCTCAAACTCCTGGCTCAAGCAATCCTTCTGCCTCAGCCTCCCAAGTAGCTGGGACTACAGGCACGCGCCACCATGCCCGGCTAATTTTTCTATATATATTAGTTGGCCAATTAATTTCTTTCTATTTATAGTAGAGACGGGGTCTCGCTCTTGCTCAGGCTGGTTTCGAACTCCTGACCTCGAGCAGTCCGCCTGCCTCGGCCTCCCAGAGAGCTAGGATTACAGGCGTGAGCCACCGCGCCTGGCTTAACATCTAAATTTCATCTAGATTAACATCTAGAAAGGATCCCTTTCTTTTTGCTTCAGTGATGCAATTTTTGTGAGTCCTGCCATTTTAGATCTGAATCAAAATTAATACTTGGTGTTTCCTTTAGTTCTGGAGTAGCTTGTAGCTTTTGTCTTGGCCAATTTATATAGCAGCTGATTTTGTCCTACAGTTCCTTGTCATTTTTGCCTTGCATTCTGCTCTTGGGCAATAAGATCATTCTTTAAAAGAACTTCAATGTGTGGTTTAAAATCTGAATTTTGAAAACAAATAAACAAAAAAATAAAATAAAATCTGAATTTTGATTGCTGAGAGTTTCAAGGTTTTTTGCTTTCTGTTTTTATGAAGTAAGATATTTTGATTTTTGATAATTCATCCATCAATTGATCGAGTTTATTTTTCATGGATTTGAAATTACTTTTTGATATCTTTGTCCTTCATGTTCAGTAATTTTAGGATGGACACTATAATTATGGTCCTTTGGGTATGAATACTTGAGGCTCAGATGCTGCCACATTTTATGCCTTAATGTAAAGATACAATTTTAATTTCCAGGCACATAAATGCAAATATTATATTCTAATAATTATTCCCTATCCTCAGTAAATTTTATAACTGATCAAGTTTCCATGTTAATTTTGGCCAGTAGTTAGCTTCAAATCAAATTTGAAGCCCATTTTCGGTAACTTCATCCAACCATAGATATGAATTTCTTGTCACTAATCTTTCCCTGGCTTTATTATTTTCCGTTTTCCCTGTTTCTTTAAACTATTTGTTTTTTCTTCTTTTATACGTGCTTATTACCTCAAATACTTTGCAGGAGGAGGTGGGTGATAAGTAAATACATATAAGTGGTGCTGATAGCATGGACTTTCTGTAACCTCCCAGTTTTCCGGAGAACACTTTAGGAAATTTATCACCTCCAATTACCAGCACGTCTAAGAATATGAATGTTTTTCTAGTCATTTCCTAAGAGGTTTGTACCACCATCTTACCATTACAAGTGCCACATCTCTGTGGAGAAGCCACTCTGCATATACCTAGAGGAGCTTTCTAGTCATAACTGGTATTATTTTACTCCAGAGTGTCAATAACATTGGAAAGTGGTCCTTTGAAACAGAGTTGTGGAAAGTGTCTTAACAAGTTAGGGCCATGCCATCTTATACTCCTGACCACACTGCTTTGTACTGCAGTAAGTATTGCAGTATTCAGAGGCATCTTGCTGTCAACTCTCTGAATATTCTATGACTTCTGCCTTTTATTACTTTGAAGCATAAATGCTTACTTAAACTAAGGTGATGTGAGGATATGTGATACTGCTAGAACATTTTTAAAAGGGACTTTGAATGGTAAAGTCTCTAAGAATGGTCCTTCCTCTTCAGGAAGCTGTGCTCTATGACCTTGAGTCAGCAAGCATAGCATTGATATAATCCTCCAGAGCCAGAATGGGGGTTGGTATGTCTGAAATGATATGTCAATTTTGGGGGCCAGGTGCCACTTGTGTTCTGTTGACTCAGTTGATCGGAACTCTCTCTGTGTATATTTTGAGCAGGACTAATATTGGTAACTGCTTTAGGAGACATTTAGTGATGCTGTTTTACCATCTAGAACCTTTTACTGGGCCATCAAAAATGTCAAATAGAATCCAGCCAAGAGTTTCATCATGTCCTCCATATACAAGGTGATTCTGCAGCATATTATCTGAGAAATCATCAAACAATATTGAGTCCAATGGTGCAACTCTGGTTTGTGATCAATGAAAGCTATTTATTGGGATTTTGATGCCTTGATATCTGAACTTAGGGTGGAAATGTGCTTCTTCAGTACATTGACAATTTTACCCAATATATTGATCTCAGGTGAAGTTAGTTAAGATGAGAGATTAAAATGGCATATGTTTGATACTTATAAATGGTCTGAAGCACAGTATGAGTCTGTTTAGCATTTTAAAAATCTATTTTAAAGTCAAATGTAATTTCTTGGCACAATTGACTTCATTTGGCATGTAAATAAACAACATTAACCTAGCACCAGAGTGCCATCCCTGTATCTCACTCCCCCATTTGTACAAAACATTGGCTTTCTTACTGGAAGAGGAAAATTTAATTGCCCCTGGAGGGCACAAACTGAAACTTTCCATTGAGCCAGCGGTCTAGATTTGAGATATTATTAAGGCCCAAGTGGGGAAGTAGGTTGATGGGACAACAAGTGATTAACCTGGCCTAGACTGACAAAGAGTGGGTGCTAGGTGTCAGCAAAGTCTGTACTTTCTGTTGGGGACAGGGTGGGCCTCAGGGTAGTCTATCCTATTTTGGGCTGTGCTTCTGACCTCTCTTGTTCTTGACCTTTACATAACAATCTTATTCTGACTTCCTGTGTGTTTAATGCCTTCATCTCTGAAAAGCACAACTCTACATCCTAATTTCCATTTTAAAACACAGGCATGATGCAATAATATCACACACAGACTTCCACCTACCCTTTTGTCCCTGAAAGTTTCACCTTTTAGCTTTGTCCTTGACCACTTCCAAACTCAGATAGACCCAGTCACTGTTACTCAGAAGGAAGGGTCTGGGTCCTAAACGCTCTATAAAAACATGTTTAAAGTAATATATATATATATATATCTGGTTCTGTGGCATTTTGTTGCTAAGAGAAATATTCAAAATATTTAACAACCAGAGTTGCACCAGTAGTCAAAGGTGACTTTGCAAGCCCTAAAAGCTTATAAGGCTGTAACTACATATTAGCTGCATGTCAGCCCTAGCTGTAACATTTCAGCCAGATGAATTCTAAAGTATTTTACAAACATAAGGACAGTCTTTTATTTATTAATTAATTCATTCAATAAATATTTATCGTAAACCTACTATGTGTTACATACTGTGTAAAGTACTGGTTATATAAGACCTGTGATCTAAAGGAATTTATAATCTAGTCCTAGAATTATATGAGGTTTGGAAACTATGTTCAATTTTCCCTTAGATCTAGAAAGATAAATAGTCTGGGCTGATGAGAAACTCTCATCCTAATGATTTAGACAATCTAAAAATTATAAGCACTGGGTTTTCCTTTGTGCCGAGTTAACTAAATCCTTAAGAGTAATGCTTAGAAAGGTGAGAGGATATCATCTGCATCACCACAAGGGGAAGAAACTTTCATATCACCTCTGGATTTTGTATGTTTCTTAAAGAGCACTTATCTCTAAGAAGATTATCCTGAATTTCTTTGGTAGTTGGTGAGCAGCTGAAACTACAGACAGTAGAAGAAACAGAGAGAAGAAAAGACATTCAAGGTTAGCATGCAGGAGTTCTCATGCCTAAGAATTATCCAGAAATCTTGTATGTGCGTGTGTGTCGGGGGTAGTGGCTCCCACCAGGCTGAGGCCAATTATCCAGATGTTGTGGCTGGACTGAATGATGTGGGAGGGTTTGCTCTGCAGGAAATGAGCTTGATGAATGTTCCTTTTCTTCAAAGTGTGGCACACTGAGCACATATTCATTTTAGGATTTTGCTTTTACAGCAAAGCCAAAAAGAGGTATGAGTCTAATACTTTTTTTTTCTTCAAATGATCATTTACTTTGGATGTCTTCGGGATAAGTGAAACATGAACTAAAATGTCAGGCATGAAGAAACTCCTGTGAATGAAATACCTCTAAGAACTTTCTGCTTGTCATAAGAACTTTGAGTATCTTAGGAAACCTGAAATTTTCTGCAGTTTGATTTATCTTTAAGCCATCTCAAAATCCCAGTTTAAAATGGCAGGTAAATAGTAAGCTGCTCAATAAATGATGTTGGCTGCATGAGTGGATATATAGACGGGTTGAGGGATACAGAATTGTAGGAGTGGGTAGGGATTCTTGTTTTTTTTTCTTTCTTTCTTGAAAACTGAGAAAATTTGAGAACTGTTATCTTTAATAGAATGTGCTGCATAGACATTGACATCTGCAAAGGTCTCATACATTTAATAAAGACAGTCATCAATTATTTATTGAAAGCAAAAGCAATTTTGATCATTGTTTTTTATTAGAAAATTCTCTTTCCTCATTATTTCTCTTCTCCAGTGATGAGGAAAAATATATGAATCATTTTGTCTGATTGCTCTCCTGAGAAGGCACCGTGTTTACTAGCAGTAACTCCACTGAAGGCTTGGTCAGAGTAGTGGAGACGGTATAAACAATGCTGCAGAATGCAGAGGGAAGATAAATTAATCATTGTTCAAGCCTATTTACTGGCTTGATCATGTCTTTAAAAGCCTATCCATCTAGGAAATTATACTTCTACTTGTAGCAGTGATTGGTCCCAGAATTCAGCTACCAAAGTACTTTGTCTTTATAGTCTCCTTTATAATGGGCAACATGCCTCCTCAAAGGAGGAAAGTTTTAAGCAAATATAGTAATCATGAATCTCTGTGTTAAGTTTGCTGATATAAAGTCCTTCCAGATATTTCACCAAGAATAGTAAAATAAATTCAAACATTTAATTTTTTAAAAAACATTAATATGTTTGTTGTACTTTATGAATTATACTTAATAATTTGATAATAGTACATCTAAATACAATGTGTTTGTAAAGACATGACTTATGAAAAAGATGGAAAGGAGCTTACAACCTTTGGCTTTTTTCAATTGAGATCATGTTTATACAATGTTAATCCTAGTTAACAGATTATATGCTTTGGTCCCCAATAAATCTATCAGGGAAAACTAAAGGGTATTTTCATCTATATACACAAACTTTCATATTATCCAGGAATCACTGATTCCATCCTTATAGGTTGTGGCATCCACAATGTTGTCACAATCACTGCATCTCAGGAGAGAGCCTGCTTGCCAAATTCTCCTTTCTTTGTTGAACAAGTACCAGTTGTAACTGCTTTGGAACTTATTTTTCCTACTTGGGAAGTCAAAGTGGCTAAACTTTCTTGACTGTGAATCTTCAGGGAAGGGAGTTCAAATAAGATTATCATTTTCTTAGAACCAACTAAATGCTCAATATTAATACTATGCTAGGTGCTGCATCTGAAAGGGAAGATAAAGGAAGTAGAGTGCTACCTTGTTTATTTAGAACACAGATATTTGGCACCTGCAAATGTCTAGAATATTTGCCAACTGAAGTAAATAAAGAAGCCTCCAAGTGCAACCATTCTTTCCTCAAATAGCTGAGAAGATGCAATGTGTTTGGCTAATTTTCCAAGCAGAATAAAGGAGTGTTCTGTTTGACTGGTGACGATATCTGTGCCAGTCAAACCCTGATAGTGACAATGAATTCCAATTTTCATAAAATGGAAGCTAAAAATTATGAAAATAAAGTTTATTTTCACTAAAATGTACCAAAACTCAGGCAAAACTTATAGTTTTGTACTACTTTCAGAACAAAATGTTTAAAAGACTGAAAAAGTCAAGGACTTTATTAATTTTCCTAAGGACTTCTCCTAATCCTTTGATATTCAAATCATTTTCTTTTGATGTGTCTATCTTGGTACTATTCTTATTAATTTTATTTTCTTCACTTGTTAACTGATCTTACTCTACTAGATCCTCAGTTGTTAATGGCATTGCATATGATCAGAGTAGTTGCTTCGGCATCACTTTTATCAACTTCATGCAATCCTGAATGTTTTGCAAGATTTGCAGCTCTGAGATTTGTTTGCATTTTATTGTCTGACAATATCAGAAAATCAGTCAGAGACTGATCAACATAGGCTCATATTAAGCAAGATAAGGTGCTTTAGTAGAGACTAATTTTAAGGTGGTCAGTTCATGAATGAATAATTTGTGTTACAATGACTTTTGTTTCCCTTCACATCCTCTTAATTTCCTAGATTTGGATAATAGATACTTAGATAATAAGCACCACCTGTCCTTGTGTTTGCCACAAAACAAAGCAAATTCAGTTTAAATGAGATCAGTATTACTTTAAATGAGATCAGTATTACTAAAGTGTTCTAAATGCAAACATTTTCTGTATTATTTTATTATTAAAAGAACATACTTATATCTTAAATTTAATCTTTGAGTAAATGTTTTTATTGTTCTAATTGTTAAATGTCAATACATTCTGTCTCCCCTAAATGACTGTAGGCTTCCCGAGGGCAGGATGTCAGATAGCAAAACACAGAAAATATCTGGCATGTTAAGAGAATGTTTTGAGGTAGCACTTGGTTTAGAAGTTTTTCTTTTCCTTGTTAAAATCCAAGGCACCCTATAACAATGTCTCCCAGACTATGTCCTTTGGTATTCTGGTTTCCTATGAAATAGTAATAAATGTTCCAAGAGAAAAAACTTCCATGTTCAAAATTAATTTGTAACAGGAATTAGCCACTGTGGGAAACACTATGGAGGTTCCTCAAAAAATTAAAAATAGAATTACCATATGAACCAGCAATCCCACTTCTGAGTATAAATTCAAAAGAATTGAAATCAGGATCTCAAAAAGATGTTAGCACACTCATGCTCATTGCACCACAATTCACAATAGCCAATAGCTGAAAGCAATCTAAATGTCCATCTATGGATGAATGGATAAAGAAAATGTTGTGTATACATACAGTGGAATATTATTCAGTCTTAAAAAGAAGGAAATCCTGTCATATGTTACAACATGGATGAACCTTGAGGATATTATGCTAAACGAAATAAGCCAGCCACAAAAAGATAAATACTGCATGATTCCACTTATATAAGGTATCTAAAGTAGTCAAACTCTTAGAAACAGAAAGTAGAATGGTGGTTGCCAGGAGCTGGGGGGAAAGGCAATGGGGTATAGAAGATGAAAAGATTCTAAAGATCTATTGCACAACTATGTCAGATAGTTAAAAAAACCCACAATAAATTTACCATCTTGATCATTTTTAAGTGCAGGGTACAAATATGTACCCTGCACTTAAAAATGATCAAGATGGTAAATTTATTGTGGGTTTTTTTTTTACTGCAATAGAAAGCTTAATTTGGGAAATATTGTACGCTGAATCTTTTGTGGGGCATTCACCCTGAATATTAGCATATTATTGACACTGAGAATAACTCCAATGAGGAATCTTGTTTAGCTTTCATTAACCCACCAATTCCCAAACTCATTTGACAATGGAACTTTTTTCTGATTGTTAATGAGGAACACTTACTAACATTCTGGAGGACTTTATTTTTACATGGACTATAGTCTGGACAATGCTGTCCACAGAGATCTTCTACCACAGCATATAGACAAGAAAATATTTCCAGATAGCTGTAATAGATTCAACTTTGGAGATAATATATTGAACAGAACACATGCTGGAAGAGTCTCACCACTTTCTCTGAACATTTATAAAAATCATTGCAGCAGTAAATAGAAAGCAAGAGCTATAGAAATATATTTGATGAAAACTGTACCTGGATCAATGGTTTCCAAACCTGACTGAATCTCCTGGGTTGCTTTAAAAAACACAGTTTAGGCTTCACTGTCCAGGGATTCTGATTTTAATACATTTGAAGATCAACCAGGTTTGGGAACCACTGCTTTAGATGTTGGAATTTTGAATAATTGCATATAAATAGATTGAGAAGTGTTTGAAAATTGCATATTAGCTATAATATAAGAAAATGAGTGCACAGATCATGTATGAACACAGGACAACAAAAGTTAGAGATGACTTGGACAGGAACCAGGACGGAGCCTTTTAACTAAGGGTTTCATGAAGGGACTGGAAGTAAGTCAAAACCCAAATCCCTGTTAGTGATGCTTGAAATTATTTGGATATTGGTGTATACATATTCACATTAAAATTAACTGTTTAATAAATTATACACATAGTTCATTATATAGGGTTGGCTTTATTCCTCTCAACCTGTAGGTCTTGATTTAAGAATCTCTTCTGTCATTACTGATGTATTCAAACTGGATGTTCACCTTTGAGAATTGCAATCATGATTCTTGTCCACAGAGTGGGCAGACAAACTAATGAGTATTCCTTGCACAGTGGTACTGTAGCAAGTCCTGTTTCTGTCTGGGTTATTCTGTCTACATGTGAGACAAACACTAGGACACAAAGTTGAGGAATCAAGTTAGACACTCAAGAACAATACAAATAAACATGAAAATATGAGAAGATAGCATAGAATAACCTTAGACCACTAACTCTCTTGTTAAATCAACATGACCTTATTATACCAAATCAACACATAAGCCATTTGATAGGTTGTATGAGAAGATGGATCACAGCAACACCAATCAAATTAATGTGGTTGATTTCAAGAGTCAGATGATCTTTTTGAAAAAAGTAACTCAACAAAAACTGAAATGATGGTCTCATTCTGGAGATTTTGAGTTAAAGCCTACTCAACATGGACAGAAAAGTGCTTGAATACAAGTCAATACCTAATATTTGAAATTCAGCCTAAAGGATATTATCTCTTTATTCTAAAGTTTTATCTTTGACATTAAAGAAAGCAAAAAAATATATGAAGACATAGCATAGGTTGGTGGGGAAGCTAATAGGAGTTCCAGTTGGAATGCCTGGGTTCACATGTAAGCCCTGCTACTTACTGAGTGATATTGGATAAGTTGATTTGCCTCTCCCAGCCTTTCATTCCTCAACTGCAATGTGTGAGATGACTATTACACCTATCTTATAGGCTTGTGCATATTAAATAAGTTAATATAAAATATGTAAAGCACTCAGAATAAAACCTGGCACATGAAAATAAGTCAATAAATGGCAGCTGTTATTATTAGACATTGATATGTTGCTGTGGACAAGTTTCAGACTCTTTCCTGAGCCAAGATTGCTAAGTTTGGATAAGTCTCATTCCAGATGATGTTTATTTTTCTACTTCTATATGGTATTTTACATTTTAAAAAATTAACTTTCTTGACTTCATTAGAGAAAATGACCTTGATATGCTAATTCTAATTTTTATGCAAGTGATGGCTCCTGATAAATTATTTTGTCTCTTAGACTAGAGCACTTAATATGGCAACTGTAAAAGAATACTTTTAAGGGTGTCAGAGCTCATTTTCAAGTAATTGCTATCAGAAGAGAAGCAATCACTTAACATAGAGAAAACCTTTCTCAAGTCAATTATATTTCTTGTCTCAAGGAAAAGTCATCGGAGTGGGAGCTTAGGGCTTAGTATCTAAACTGAAAGGCAGAATTAGTCACTTTCCAGGTGCTGAGTTATTTATTTTAATGTTGTCTGTGG